ACTGAAATTTTTATACGCGTCCTGACACGCGTTGTAGTTTAACTGTCTCGTGGACACTCGAATTAATATTAATGAGCCGGAGCCGTGGACGATAAATAATATTATATTATATGTCTGAACCCTTGTCACGGGGTGAAAAAAAAAGAAAATCATGACAGACACGCGTATTTCGACGACGACCGCGACGATGATAATAATAATAAAAAAAAACTGTCGTTGTCACCGTGGGGACTGCTGTTGCACACCGGTCGTCAAGAGTGTAGTTGTTTCGCCGTATTATTATTTCTCGTGACATTTCAGATATAAAATTATCATTATTTAATTTCAAGCAGTCACGTGAGTATTATTTCGTTAGATATTATAATAATATACAAGTAACATAGTTGAAGGTATTTTATAGTAGCCGTGTTTAGTTTGACGAACAAAATTTCGTGTGGAGACCTTCAGTAGAAAACGAGGTTCATAATAATCCGATAATATATATTATATTATTTGATATATTTTCATCAATAACTCTTCCCCYTTGTTTTAACATTTAATCATGGGCTTATTGATATATTCTGATTTTTAGAAATTTTGAGTGTATTTAAGACCACATATTTTTCAAATACTACCTATATAATTATGACTTATTAGCTTATTTATTTCATTAATATTGTATGTCACGAAGTAGCACTGCTATAGACTTCTTTCTCTTTAAAACAACCTTCCTCCATTAATTTATTCTTACGTACCTATATTTATAATTTATTTACAATAAATTATTCTTCTAAATATTATTTAGCAGATATAWATATATTTTTACCGAAATACATATTATATCAGTAGCAGCAGTTTGACATCATGTTCGATTTTGACGTTCCGCAAATCCTTTGCGTTTTTTTTTTTTTCGAAAACTGTTGTCACCTTTCAGAACGTTATTAGAAAAGCAGATTTTGGGTAGAAACGAACCTTGATGTTATCAATAGTCAGATAGTCATGACTAGTCAGATAAGTCGAGGATTTGTTGCGTGTGGGTCGGATTCGAAAAACTGGATCTCAGTAAGTTGGTACCTACATATCTGCAGTATCTATTTATATATATATATGTGTGTGTGTTTATTTATTTACCTGCAATATTGGTATGCACTACACATACRAATATAGGTAATGCAATATGGGCTGTATTAATATGCACAACGTTATTAAACAGTTATATTGGTATATGTAATTAGTAGGTATCGGATTGGGACTATAGGAATGTCCGACGGAACAACTTCAAACTATAATTTAGGTATTAACTACGTATCTCATACTGTAGTTGTAGGCGTACTACGCTCGCTCGTTAATTAAAACATCAATATGATATGAGTGTGCATATCATTATATTTATGTAGGTATGTAGGAATTTAGTAAAACTGTACTCGCTTGAATCACCGCGCGCTGCGGTTATCCAATCGATTTGAAATGTTGTGTACCAGATGTCCAGATTCCTCTTACCAATAGTAATTAAATTTACTCATAGGGGGTGCAAAGGGTGCACTTGCACCTCCTGGAATTTCAAACTATAATTTTGCACCCTCTAAATTTTCTATATTTATAATGAATAACTAGTGCGTACCAAAATTTAAATATTTCGTTTATTACAAATAATTATAACGACGATAATAGTTGATAATTATTATCATACATACAAATATATTATCTATAAATATCTACAGTCTATAAACATAAATTATGCTGCTGTTATTAATATGTCAACTCAAACTACTAATATTATAAAAGAAATGCGATCAGATAAAGTTAAAATATTGGTAAAAAAAAATTCAAACGAATCGAGGGAATTTGACATTTTTTAGATAGTTTGTAGCATTTCTGATTAGTTTTGAACCCCCCGAATTGTAGCGAAATTATACCTATGAATGTACTCATAAGTTATATGGACTAGCAATATTATGCGGTATAGATAGATGACCTGCACAATTATTGCAAAATTGCAACTAGCAGTTGACGGCTCTGCATCAGGATAAATATTAAATTAAGTCATTGGTGAGCATAATATAGACGTCAATATCGTTCGCAGTAATACGTGGTGTATTCCTTCTTCAAAATTTTTTACTAAGGCTGCTTCATCGATGCATCAAAAATTTACAATTGTATTTTATATAACTTTATATTGTAACCTGAAAAAAATATGGCTTACTAAAATTTTTGATTTTCCCTTTATGGATTGCCATGGGAGCAATTACTATATGTGATTCGATTTTTGAAGTTCTTAAAAAAATTTGAGGCGACCACAGGCAGAACTGGAGGACGGTAGTGCATGTAGGTATATTGTATAACACCATCATAGTCTGAGGATAACGGACACTTATCTCGAAAGCGGAACTTTCCAGCCAAAAGCGGGTCGTATATGGTCACGTTAGATTTACATCTCACACATCATATATCGAATATTGGTGTTGTTGAAATAAAATAGACAGATTAAAAAAAAACACATTCATTTATTGGTTTTTCAAACATAAATAATAGATTTAATTATTCACAATTAATCTGTACGAACAAAAAAATTAGGCAAGTACTTACAAAATTATTACAATCGCAAAATAATATTATACACGAGTGAAGTACATAACACGACAATTAAACATAATAATTTAAGTATAATATATAATGATATTTTGTCTATATATTGTACATGTTGTATATAAATATTCTGTATACGATTAAAATATATACACAACATAATATATATATTATATTATGTACACGACACTATCGTGGAAGATCCACGTACGGTATACCTATAATCTATGGTACACTCAAAGAAGTAATCTAGGGGGAGGGAAAGGGGTAGGTGACTGACCCCCAGATATCTTATTGAGCCAGCCATAGTTATATTTTTATCTGATAGATTTTTAGTTTTCCAAATTCATCCACCCCCCAAAAAAATATCCAAAGTTACGCCAATGTGTACCTATTACTTTATTTAGATACATATTTATATGGATGTACGGTAAGAGAAATACTAAGTTGTACAGGAGTATATATATAATAAGCTTTAGTGTTGGATAGTTACTTGGATAGATCTTAGACTTATTGGCATTATAGTTTTCGTACAATTTTATGTTCAAAAGACATAGATAATTATATTAATATGAACACCAAAATCATGGCAAATGCTGTTGCGCTTAGATCCTAAGTGTAGCTCGTCCTTTTTTAACTTTATAACAGTTGAATTATTGTTTTATTTTTCAAAAGCTTTCACTATTGTATGACACAGTTCTTGTCGTCTACCGACTGTTGTTGCTGATGCTGCAGATGCTGTTGCGACTGGCCACCAGCTGCGGTCCTCTTACCGGGTGACCGGTGGGCGGTGGCCTGCTGTTTGGCGTACGCTATGGCGTCGTTGGGCACGTACGAGATCCTGGCCGCGGCGCCRGCTCCAGGTCCGTATGGCCGTCTAGCTGGTAACCGGTATACAGACAGATCGTCAAGCTCGCTATCCGAACTGGACGAGCACGTGGAACAGCAACCATGTTCGGCGGATGAATCGTTACCGTTATCGTTACCGGGTACTGGAGGCGGTGGCGGAACTGGCCTGCTGTTCCGGCTCCGGCTCCGACTCCGGTTGTTTCGGCCTTCCCGTCGTCGACGTCTGGTGCGTCCGGAAGCCGGTGGGTCGGTTGACGACAAAGCGGTACCGTCAAAGCGGACAGACCTTCGGCCACCYGAGGTCGTGGCCACCGTCTCGGGAGTGGACGATGACGATGAAGCGCGACGCGGCTGCGATGGTGAATTTGCGACGGCCGCGTCTATAGCGGTGGGTGGAGGCATGGCGCCAACCAGTCTCCGATCGACAACGGGCCGGCGGCTTGAAGACGACGAGGATGGTGGGGATGGTTCTACGGCGGTGGCCGTAGCAGTGGCCGCGGCCGCGGTGGTGAGTTTTTCAAATTCGTTCAGCAGCCGATCGGTGATCTCGTCGTCAGAGATGAGCTTCTCCAGGAACCTTTGCGGTAGTTTGCCGTTACTTAAAAGCCGTTGCAGCTCGTAAAGCGTGTCGTCCAACCGGCCGCCGTCCGTTCGGTCGACAGCGACGACAGCTGACGACGTAGCAGCGAACCCGCGGCCGTGTGGTCTGCTGCCGTCATCATCGTCGGTGGCCAACTCACCGTCGCCACTTTCGTCCCTGTTCAACATGGTGAGCACTCGCCTGGACTCAACCATAGCGATGTCATTGCGCCGCCGCCGCTGTCGCACGTCTAAGTCAGACGGTCGGGCGGCCACGGCGTTCGGTGGGCCGATGTGCGGCGACAATACGCCATCGCCTGCAACCCGCTGCTGCATGTGTCGCGTCGGCGACGGAGACGACGCGCCGCTGTTGTTTGCGTTCTKCAATGCTCTTCGACCCATCAAMGGTGACCGGCACGCCGATTGTTGTGACGGCGAAGGTGACCTGTGGAAATCAGAGGGATTAATGTCGTCATACGCATGCGGGTGTCACAAGAATCAACATTTTGGGATAGTGAT